TGTCTATCTGTCTATCTATCTATCTATCTATCGATCTATCTATCTATTTGTACTTTCTATTTATCTTATCTGATCTTATCTTATCTTATCTATCTGCCATCCAACAAACTAATGCATTTTGTGCCTGCCTTCTCGGCGAAGATCTGTTGTATTGCAGAACTGGTCATAGACCATGCAGGTAAGACCGTTGAATACCTCATCATTATTCATCATTTACATACACATATGTTGCAAGCTTTTTGTAGCTTCTTTTGGGAATCGATTAAATATCCATGAAAATCCTTCAAATTGAAACCGTTGCAAGGAAGCAATGAACTGATTAAGTAATGATGATTTAATTTCTCCAAGCTGAGTTGGACACTGCCACTTCACAGCCGGCAGTTTCGTCACAGAGTCTCAAGCACTGATGAAGGCCCACTTGCGGAGAGCTTTTAGGCTCCTTGGATCGATCATTTGAAATCAGCACTGCAGAACCTAAATGGGAGTTTCCAGAAATGGAGAATCCCCAATTGCTGGATCAAAATGCTTTGTTTATAATGGAAAAATCGGAAAATCCTATTAAAATGGATGATGAACAGGGGTACCTCCATTTTAGGAAACCTCCAAATCTGAGACTTGAGTTCCCGGCAGCAAGGAAGTCTGCCTGGGTGATGAAGCCATTCTTGCAGGTACCGCCCAGCTGCATCTGATTCCAGTTCCCTCTCAACTTAGAGAGCTGACGGGAACCTCGGGTTGCAAACAAACCAATCATATCCAGTCAGTAGGTCCAAATGTAGCTTCTATGTAGCTTCACTGATAAGCGCAAAACACCTTAAGGATGTTTGCAAACGAGCAGCTTGAATCGCTCGAATCGCTTGAATCATAGATGTGACCAAATCCCAACACGTGTTGGAGCACTTGTCGATATGCTGCCAACGTCTGGGACTGGATTTTTTGGCTGGCACGTCTCATCGAAGTGGCTACCGTGGCGGGGCTCAAGCTCTGCAGCTGTTGCACTAAAGAGGCAACCGAGTGGAAGTATTGGACATGCGGAAAGCGATAGTAATCTGCTGCAGCGATCCAACTTGTGCCTTCAGCTTCAAGCACATTCCGCAAGGTCGACTGGTTCATCCAGGCTTGAAGGCCCTGCCCATGGTCCAAGCGGATCAAAGAGGGACTTGGCTTTGGGTCATTCGGGTGCTCGAATTCCAAAGATCCCCATCGAACTGAAGGAAGCCATTTGGTCATGAGTTTCTCATCAGGCATCAGAAGCGGCACGGCCTCGGGTAAAGAAACCGTCCAGATATGGATTCTTGTGTGGCACAAGCTGAGCTAATCACTGCATGATACAGCTCATAGAAGGACATCACCTCATGGAGGAATGGAAGATGGAACACATCATTAATGAATATTTAATGAAATAGTGTCTGTTTTCAAATGTTTTCAAGGTGCATCTTTTTTCAAAATGGTTTTTCCGATCACTGGGGCTCACTGCATCATTGTCCCAGGGGACGAGGATAGCTGCGCTGTAGGACAAGATGCTGCCTGCGTCGACAGACCGTCGACAGGGGGCTCCGTGGGGTAACCCGATGCATTGACACAGTGCAATGTGTGCAACCAAGGATCGCATCGGCAAGAAATGCGTTTGGAATGCCTTGGTTCAAGCTTCACTATCGTATTAGCCAAGGATTAGTAAACCTCCAGTTGATTGACAGCGGGCAGTATTCATTTGAACAGTCATTTATTACATTTTATTACACTATCTTGGGGGTAACCATCCCATTAATCGTTAGGGCTTATTAATCCGGCTTGGAAAACCTTGTGCAGCGGGGTTGCAATTTTGGTCTTTGCATCTGTGAAATGCCGCAGCAGGCCACGAAGAGCAGGAAAAAAGGCAGCACGACCTGGGGATATCTGAAAAAAGATATTGAAAAGATATATATATATAATTATATATATATGGCAGTGTGTCAAAACCTTGTACCCCTGTAGTTCACATCAAAATAGCTGGGATTTATGGATGTGAATAACCCCCTAAAAATGGTATTTTCATAGGTATTGATCCATACCGTACCCATATATAATATATTAGTCCAATGTTTTCAATTTTTTCCCCAGTTATTGCTATAGATGATTTTCCCATTTCAAGCTCCGTTTAGTTCGGGGATTTTCCATGGAACCACTGTACCAATGATGGATGAGTTTTGGCTGGAGGCAACTCAATTAACTGAAACAATACACACAAAAATCATCAAAAATCATGAAAAATCAGCTGCTCAATGTCTCAAACAAACCAGCACAGTTCAAATGCAGCTGTTACTTCTGAGAATACTGCGGTTTTGTGTTCAGCAGATTTCAGCAGTGTGTTCTTCTGAGATTCCGACGCCACAGTTCAGGTCTCAGTGCAATTGCCTCTAGATTCCTTGTGGTCTTGGAAGCCAGTCCTGACGAAAATACGACGAAAATGAAATCCAAGGACTGGGCTGAGTCTGTCTAGGTTGACCGCTGGTATCTTTGGGATAGTGCAAGTAGAACAAACCTCTTTCTTAATTCCCCAAAGGCTTTCTATTCTAATCTGCTTGGCTACTCTGGAATCAATGAAAAGTGCTATCTCCCACCTTAGTGTGAGCCGGGCACAACATGCTAAAATAATCAGCTATCGCACTTCACACAGTGTTTTGTGCCCAACCTGGCCTTCGGTTTGATACAACGAGAGGGGAGGAAGAGCAGCAATCCATACTCCCACTGCATGATGGAATTGAGCAGCACGGATCAAGTCAGTAGCCACCTAGGATTCACAGCTTCCAACAGGTTGCGAAAACATGAGTAACAGTAATTAACAGTATCAGTATGATTCAGTATGTATCACTTGTATCTGGGATGAACTCTTCAGATATCTGCATGCATGGGACAGCACCATCCTGGGCCCATGACAACTGCAGTGCGACGGCTCCCCACGCCTACGCATAGGATGAAATCCTTTGGAGACGTGTTGCGGGCATATGCGGGCATATGCGGGCATGGATGGCATGGGGCTTCACAGAAACCTCACCTTGCGAACCCATCCAAGTGAAGTCTGATGCAATGGAGCGAGCCGATTCCAACATCTCTTTTACAGCATAGGAGGGCGCCATGTAGGTCATTGTCAAACCTCATTGAAGTTCGTTCAACATTGGCTGGTCACCAAACCAGAGAGCTTCTTGAACCACAAGACCAGACTGACCAGAGCTTGACATGTCTTGACTCAATTGGAGTTTCCTAAAATAGGGATACCCCTGTCATCCAAGTCATTAGACCATTTCATTATTGTCCCCCCATGGTTTTGAGGTACGCCCCATTTTAAGAAACCTCCAATTTTTCAGACATCCGAAAATGATCAGAACAGCTCAGGTACCCATGTAGATCAGCATCGGTGCATCCAGGACCTGTTGCAACATGTGGCACAAGTAGTAGGGCCCAGTGCAAATTTGGAGCTCAGCGCCCGAGAGGAAGGCATCCGAGGAGACAATGGCCTGCAACTCCTGGGTGAGGACCTCGTCTTGCGGTCCAGTTGGAAAGGTTTGGCCTGGATTCTGACTACCAAAAACCATCAAAAACCATTAGATAAACATCAAGACACTTCAAAAAACATGATGTTAGATCAATGAAAGGACCTGTTGGTCAAAGGATTTTTGGGTGAAGTCGGCAAAATTCAGCATCTGCCCCAGGATCACATCAAAGATGGCATCGTTGGAGCATTGACCAAGCCTCAGGACAGGCGAAGCATCAAGTAGAGATATATTGTAAATTCAAATTTATATATATAATATATTTCTATTTTTTGCATGGCTGTCATAATCCTGTCATCAAGCTCCTCAATCCAACTCAGGAGTGCACACTTCACATCGGAAAGAGCAGTGATGAACCGCAGAGTGGTGAGCTGGACAGCTCAAGCCAAAATATTGATGTTCCGTGCGCCCTCGAAGTGCTGCATTCACAGCAAAGGCGATGTCAGCAGAAAGGCTCGGATGGACTCCCACAACAGCCACCTTCCACTTTCGGTTTGGCACTTCGTATCCAACTGGCAAGTTGTGCTGGATCCTGTGGCTCAAAGAACTCCAGGGAATGCGGTCTTCAATGATTGATCTGACACGTCCAAAGTTGGCGCAAGAGAAGAGTGGACATGTTCCAATCGTTCCTTCGTCACCAGGTGATGTGGATTGATGCAGAATGGCCAAGGTCAAGTCCTGAGTAATCTGAGTGTGCTGAATGTGCGTTGTGTCTCGTTGCCATCCTGCCCAAAATTGACCTTCTCAAGCGTTTCCTTATGCATAACCCAGCTCAAAGAATTCAGTGTTGAAAAATGTTGAACACTTCTTCCCAGTTCTTCCCACTCCGACAAAATCTAGAGGTCTTCATTCCTATGCCACTCTGAGATCAAACACTCCTCACCTCAGCCTCTATGGGTCAACTCAAGGTCAACCCTGCAATTGAGGCACCAAAGAAGAAAAAGGCCAGGCCGAATCTTCCAGAAAATCCAGAGCAGCAGAGCCACCCAGCATTTGCAAAGCCATAGCTGAATAGTGGAATGCATTGCCATGACTATCATGTCTTGCAAGGATGAACAACGCAGCAACTAAACCGTAGTGACAATGTCCAGAGCGAATCCCCAATTCCACTGCTGCATCACCTATCAACACCTGCACGTTGATAACGTTGATACGGGACTCAAAATGGAACTGCTGGTTGGAAGCAGCACTGAAAAAAACATCCAAAAACACTAACATTTCATGCAAACAGCGACATGAAAACATTTTCTTATTTGGTTTGTACAGTAATGTATAGATATATATAGTATCTATTTTCAAAGTCGTTTTTGGCCGATCACCTGATGAAACAGGGCAGACGCAGCAGCAAAATTTTGTGGGGATCCTTGCACGCTGTTCCAGAGAGACTGGGCCATTGCCTCCGCAGATCAGCTGACTGCGCGTGTCATGGCGTGTCTGTGATGCAAATGAATTTCTTGAGGTGAAATCATGCTGCTTTCGGAGGCATATACTAACATATAATATACTATAATATACTATAATAATCTATAATATACTATAATATACTATAATATACTATAATATACTATAATATTCTATAATATACATTTACATGCAGCAATGATGAACAATGATCAACAATGATCAGCCATGTGCACGCATGTGCATGATGCATTGCTGATACCCACCTGAAGCTCCCAGTTTATGGAGAAACCAGCAGCAGCATTGCTCTGGAACGCATGTCGAAAAGAGTTCCAAGCCTCGACAGCGTCAAACCACACTGCAGAAATTGCGACCTTTCCAATCTGAAGCCCTGATTAATGGACCCCTGCGCCGTGAAATCAGGGGTGTGCCATTGGTACATATTGGTACTGTATTCTTACTGTTTTGGGAGTAGCACACCATCCCCCCACTGCCTGAGATTTAAGGGTTGAACCATTCGCTTTCTCTTCAGAACACCCATGAAAACAAGAATGACACATAATGACACTAAACATAAGCATAGAATACCATAGACATCCATAGACGGTTTAGAATGTTTAGAAAATGGGAACACATGGGCAGTTTAACTGCGGCTTTTCAAGTCTGAGAGCATCTGAGATCCTGACTCCATGTTCCTCTGCACTACAGTCCAAGAATGCTCGCAGCTGACTGTGCTCTTCATGTCCGTTGCCACCACTGCCACCATTGCCAATGACATGTCCCGAGCTCATGAAGCTGCTGAGAACTGGCGCTGATTCAGCCTGGAAGTCCATCTGGACCCCAAGAAGTTCAAGCAAGGACTCTAGCGTGATCAGTGATCACTGTGTTGTTCGACTCAATCTTTAAAATTCCTGAATCATTCTGAATCACATATATATATATTGAATGGATAGTTCTTCATCTACATGGACTAGCCAAAGCCTCGCCATGCCTCACGCATATTCCTAGGCATAAAAATGGCGGCGAAGTGCTGCACCTCCGTCTTTGTCCTTCGCAGTGCTTCGAAGCGATGCAACACGGAGGTCCAAAAATCAGCAGCTTCCTGTCGCAGCTTGGACGAGTGCTCTCTCATCCCCTTGCTGATCTGCAGCAAATCCGCTGAAGCCGTCAGGTAGAGCAGCTGTGGGATACTGCCAAACTGCTGAACCTGCAAAACATGTTTGAACAAAAATGCAGAAAAGCACCGTTCCCTAACCATCCCCAACATTCCCTAACCAACTTTCACAATCTCAGCTTGCAACAGCGTGAGTTGAGTACACCTCCAATCTACTCTGTGGATCTCTGTGGTCTGAGGTTACGTCTGAGGTTGGCACATGAGGCCGAGTGTGCAGTTCTGACGTCTGCTGCCAGTGCAAAAATGTCTTTAGGTCCTCAAGGTCGTTCTTCGCTGTAAGGAAAGGCGGATACCTACCACAAAGCACTGCAAAAACCGGCCAAAAAACAGATCAGGGGTTCAAACGTATTCACATAATTCTACGCTTTCTGGATGTCAATTGGGATTCACGGTGGCCCCGCAATTCGCCTGAAGTTTCCATGGATTCCAGTGAGGTCTGGCAAAGCCATGGAAGGCTGGAGGAATCCGAAGGGTGCTGCCTCGAAAAAATGCTGCTGGAGCAGGGCTGGAGTCCTGGAGCCTCCGAGTTGGCGAAAACATGAACTCCAAGGCCCCCAACGCGACGCAGTCGGTAAAGCCAGCTTGCCTCTGGCACAAAGGTTGGCACACCTGTCGACAGGGCCGCAATGCCACATTTATATACATGGTAGCTGCTAGCTGAGCACAACTCTTGAAGTGTATGTTGCAAATTTTGCATCACTGTTGGGTCTAGTTGGGTCTTGATCTATGATGCTTCCATATGCTTCCTGCATCCGCATATGATGTGCCTAACGCGTAGACCTCTACAAAGGCAAACACCTAAGATCATAATATGAATGTCTGAATGTCACAAGCATTTCTCGCTCATGCTGCTGGTCATTCATATCTTATTAATTAATCTTGGATGAAACTGGATTTCGTCAAGGCATCCCTACCCCTATAGAGGAGGAGGGCGGGGGGGACAAAACCAACCTGTCGAATTCCACTTTTTTTTGCTTGGAAACCCTGGGATAGTGATCCAATTGCTCAAATAGAATTTTAAAGTAACATTTCTTGACAAGCCTTGGGCACTGGTTAGAAAATACATGCGCTTAGCTGGAGGAGCGAAGCGCAAGTATGATGATGGCAACGCAATTTTTGGAGGGATGCCACCCCTACACATGTGCTGCTTCAGTCTGACATGTGCTTGGCTCCTCCGGAGCTAAGCGCACGTATTTAATTTTCATCTGTTTGCCAATGATATGGAATGACGAGGAATGTTGATCATTGAGAAAAATCAATGCAAAAATTGAATTTTAAAATGAAATTTCAGTACGAGTCCCCCCCTCAAATTTCATTTTTAAGAGGGTAGGGATGTCAAGGCCAGGTAAATGTCAATGGAGCAAGAATCAAATCATGCTCAGCATCTGCGTGCATTTGTCAAAATGCAGACCATGTCACTGTCAAATCATTTGGAATCAGCACGGTCGCTCGATATCCAGCAATTTCATCTGGCCTGTCCGCCAAAGCTGCACTTTGCACACGAAAAAATCAGCCGTGATTGAGGTCATGGCGGTAGCTCATCAGGGCCAAATGATGCAGCCATCACAAAGGTGAAGTTGTGACCTGGACGTGTCCAAAATGATCAAAGTGACTGGGAAGTGTTTTTTATTCTCTCTCTTTATATAATATATATATATATACACATGTGTTTTGAAGATTTTTGAAGGATATCCAGGAATCACCAGGAATCCAGGAGACCCCAGAATTTTTACCCAGATGATCATAAAACTGATGTTCACAATGTCCAAGGCTTGAGACGATCCCGTCCTGGTATACACGGATCGTCCTTGTGTATCACTGTATCACCACAAATAAGTACCAGTACCAGTACGGCATGGTCGGTTCCTGTCCTACCAATACCTGAGATACAGAAAAAAGAGTTCTGCCATACAGGATGGCTGTTTCAACAGAATTCCTTCTGGTTCTAATACCTTCATTTCTTGTAATTTCATGGCATATATCAAGTAGATTTTATTCGATTTTGATGGGGCACAAACACATGCATCACACAATACTGTACGGATTAATACGATATACGGCGCGTGTTGCTCTTCGAGGCACTAAACTCATTCAGCCGCAGAAATGCTTCCAACACATCCATGAAGTATTGCCCAGGAAGTCGGTGCCAATATCGAGCACGTAGCACCAGGACCTCTTTCCAGTGGCTTTCATGGGGACCCCATGAAACTGCTGGAAGATAATGCGCCACACGCTCAACCACCTAGGTGCAACAAAAGGCAACCAGCTTCTGAAAGGTATGAACTTTCGTCATCAACCTCTGTGCATTTATGTCCATTGAAAAAAAACATGCCATCGAGGATGCCACGGGCAATTCAATGCCAGTCTGATATAGGCATTGAGAAGCTGCAAAGACATTGCAAGCGGCCAGTGCCCGCCTTGGATTCTGAGACATCATCCGGACCTGCCGCACCGAACTATGGAGAACTACCGGGTACCGGGAAACTCAAAGAAAGTCCATACAAAATCCATACAAAATCATCAAAATCCGCTGTTTTCAAAAGAGATCAAAAGAGAATCCGATTGTAATGGTTTGCCAGGTCAGGTTCCCTGACGCCTGACCCAAAAGCATGGCTCCAACTTGTTCTCCCGGTGGTGCTCCCCAGAGTAGCTGAGAGCACAATGTCATTACCTGGCCCGACACAAATCGATAAGGTGACACACCAAGCTGGATAGAAAAGCTCAAAGAAAGTGGGTGTTCAAACAGTGAACCCAACAAACAATGTGGGTTTGTCTGATAATATGGTACTTCCAATTTTGATGGTTTATCATCACTATTTTCCTTGTTGAAACTGCAATACTGTATCCAACGTATCCCCCCATTGAACAGCCAAGGGACCATCAACTTTGAAGGCGCCAAAACATCCAACAAATAGCACAGAACCAATGGGCCAGAGCCTAGGCACCACCATGGCTACAGATGCTACAGTCACCACTGGTGGGAAAACACATTGAGATAACTTAAGAGCATATTAAATGATATTAAATACTTTTCGTGAAAACCCGAGAGCATGTATCACAATTTCCGATCTCTTGCAATCCTCTTTCGCTACTCATTACATAAGTCATCATGAGTCTGTCTTACATGGGTCCTATATGTCCTATTGAATCTTTAGGCCACCCATAGGCCAGGTGGTGCCAACATGCCATGGAAGTCGTCGCTGAGGTCGCAACACACCATGAGGTCCGCAGCGTCGTCTCGCCATGCATTGCCCAAAGCTGCGAGGGCGCCCGGGATGGACCATGGAACCTCCTCCTAGCGATCGAGGTGGGCTGTTTGGCAGGTCTAGTGACCGATGTTTGGCAGCACCAGAAGATACAAAAAGTAGGACGTTTAAACATGATACCCAAACAACATCTTGAAGAATGGCATATTCTGCAAATCTCTTCAAATCAGCACTGCACGAAGAGGTACATGTAGTATGTGTTGTCATTTGTTGATATTTGCTCTGAGGAACGTGCATAAAAGCCAGAGCTGTTAAACATGCCCTTCAACATGTCTGCCTCGGAACAAGCAAAATGGGGATTTCCTAAAATTGGGGTACCTGGGGTACCCCCAAAGTAATATTTCGGGCAAACCCATCCGTTTGCCCGCGCCGACGTCCACGATGTGTCCGAACATCAAACAACACTGTGTTTTGTGGGACAAAATGCACATGTCCATGATCATGGCTTTCATCGTGCAACGCACAGCTTAGCAACCTGTGCGTTGAATCAAATGTTACAACATCATCATTATTATAATATATTATCATCATCATCATCAACCATTAACCCTAAACCCTACACCCTAAACCCCTTGAAAATTCCCTTTGATATAAAGTTTAACGGGGGGTGGGGATTTGATGATTCCCTAGAATCTCAGTTGAAGCATCTTTAAGACTCCCTCGAATCAATATCCTTTGAAAGCGCAAAAAAGTTGTGTGGGCGAACCGCGGGGTTTGCGCGTAGTAATATTCTAACAGGTTTTTCCAGTATAAACCATCCAAAAATGGACGACACCTTCACTTTCATCACGATCAACTGAGAGACCACAGCATCATCTTCGCAAGGTGAGCCAAGCATTTGACCTCAGAAGTTATTGGCTTTGCATCAAATGTGCTCATCTTCAAGCCGATTCCTGCCGTCATCTTCCGCCAAAGAGCATTTGTAGACACAGGCATGCCTCAATGACTTGTCTCCAGGTCGTCCATAACAAGGGTGGCCAAAGTATGAAACCTGCAGGTTGCCTGAGTCACCGGTGAGTCTAGGTCTCTGAGATGAGGCAAATGATATTATATGATATGAAATGATATCAAATGATAAAGTATTGTCACTCTGACTGGTCGACCGGTCACAGCAAACAAGCTGCCATCAGGGTTTGATGTGCGTAGAGCCTCACCTGAGTCAGTGTGTGGGGCTATGAGACTGCATGAGATCTTGAATGATCTTATCCGTGTTTGTGGAAGAAACACCTGTGCATCACATTCCGCTTTCACAGCATCAACATGCCCTGAGCATCTCACTCAAAGCAGCCACAGGCTCTAAAGTGCTTGCCACATGCAAGCCAAAGGCTGCAATTTGCAACGACTGGAGTGGTTTTTGTGGCTTGAAACCCAATTGTGGCTTTGGTAGCCAGCTGCCCTGGCTGTTGGAGGATTGAAGGCAGAAAACCGTGGGATCAAAGAACTCTTGGACGAAATGGGGAGAAACCAGCCAGGTTTATTGACTATCGACTCAAACAATAAGGACCAGGCCTCGTGCGGTCTTGAAACGAATTCATTCATATCGAACAAAACGTGACAGTCGGAGGATGAGTGCAAAGAAAGGGTCGAATGCAGACCTGGCACATTGCAGTGAGACAAAGATTTTCCAGTGCCTAATGGGTTCGGATGACTAGTTCAATTCACTTCAGGAGGAGTCAGCAGCTGGTATCTTGCAGTGTGGGTATGAGACTATATATATATATAAATAAAATAAATAAAATAATATGTCCAGATATGTCCAAATTGAATCAAACTGATTGCAGTTATCCAACATGATCCAACATCTCCAACCAGCTCTCAAGATTTAAGACATTCTACCGGATTCTACCGAACTGATCTATTAGCTGTATCAAGATATCCACTGAGATCACTGAGACATTCGCTGAGATGGAGGTCAAATGTCTTCAGAGGCCACTCTGAGCTCTCCAGGAAATCCGTTTCGCAGGTCTCACCGCCGAGCAGCTGCTCTGCCTGGGTCGAGGTATCGGATTATGGGCTATATAAGTATATTAGCAGTATAATAATATAGCAATAATAATAATAATGATATATATATATATATATCCGCCGACCCCGGCCGACGCAAGGGGGAGCGCGTAAGGGAAAAAGAGGTACTGCACTGCTATTACTGATACTACTACGACGACGACTACTACTACGACTACTACTACGACTTGGTGGCTTCTTCGTCCTTCACTGCCATGCTGTAAATTGAAGAGCTAGTTGAAGAGCTAGTTCTCTAGGATTTCAGAAGGGACGTTAGGGAATTTTTTGGTGCGATTTGGTGACTTCTTCGTCCTTCACTGCCATGGTGTTTCAGGCTGGCGGGTCCGGCGTTTTGGCGGCTCAGAATCTGTAAGTTGAAGAGCTAGTTGAAGAGCTAGTTCGCTAGGATTTCAGAAGGGACGTTAGGGAATTTTTTGGTGCGATTTGGTGGCTTCTTCGTCCTTCACTGCCATGGTGTTTCAGGCTGGCGGGTCCGGCGTTTTGGCGGCTCAGAAGCTGTAAGTTGAAGAGCTAGTTGAAGAGCTAGTTCGCTAGGATTTCAGAAGGGACGTTAGGGAGTCTTTTGGTGCGATTTGGTGGCTTCTTCGTCCTTCACTGCCATGGTGTTTCAGGCTGGCGGGTCCGGCGTTTTGGCGGCTCAGAAGCTGTAAGTTGAAGAGAGCTAGTTGAAGAGCTAGTTCTCTAGGATTTCAGAAGGGACGTTAGGGAGTTTTTTGGTGCGATTTGGTGGCTTCTTCGTCCTTCACTGCCATGGTGTTTCAGGCTGGCGGGTCCGGCGTTTTGGCGGCTCAGAAGCTGTAAGTTGAAGAGCTAGTTGAAGAGCTCTAGGATTTCAGAAGGGACGTTAGGGAGTTTTTTGGTGCGATTTGGTGACTTCTTCGTCCTTCACTGCCATGGTGTTTCAGGCTGGTGGGTCCGACGTTTTGGCGGCTCAGAAGCTGTAAGTTGAAGACGAAGAGGTAGTTGAAGCGCTAGGTCTCTAGGATTTCAGAAGGGACGTTAGGGAGTTTTTTTGGTGCGATTTGGTGGCTTCTTCGTCCTCCACTGCCATGGTGTTTCAGGTTGCCGGGTCCGGCGTTTTAGCGGGTCAGAAGCTGTAAGTTGAAGAGCTAGTTGAAGAGCTAGTTCTCTAGGATTTCAGAAGGGACGTTAGGGAGTTTTTTGGTGCGATTTGGTGACTTCTTCGTCCTTCACTGCTATGGTGTTTCAGGCTGGCGGGTCCGGCGTTTTGGCGGCTCAGAAGACAGGCACGTCAGGGAGCTCAGTGTTTTGGCGGCTCAGAAGGTGTAAGTTGAAGAGCTAGTTGAAGAGCTAGTTCTCTAGGATTTCAGAAGGGATGTTAGGGAGTTTTTTGGTGCGATTTGGTGGCTTCTTCGTCCTTCACTGCCATGGTGTTTCAGGCTGGTGGGTCCGGCGTTTTGGCGGCTCAGAAGCTGTAAGTTGAAGAGCTAGTTAAAGAGCTAGTTCTCTAGGATTTCAGAAGGGACGTTAGGGAGTTTTTTGATGCGATTTGGTGGCTTCTTCGTCCTTCACTGTCATGGTGTTTCAGGCTGGCGGGTCCGGCGTTTTGGCGGCTCAGAAGCTGTAAGCTGAAGAGCTAGTTGAAGAGCTGGTTCTCTAGGATTTCAGAAGGGACGTTAGGGAGTTTTTTGGTGCGATTTGGTAGATTGCAGAAGCAGTACAAGATGTCGCATATTTTTAATTCAAACATATCAAATATATTTCATAAAAATCTACATATGAAAAAGAAGAAAGCGTGAAAGTGCGAAGCACCGAAGAATATCTATGCCCATTTGGTTTGCTTACTTGACCATTCTTCCGGGGTCGGCGGCAGGGGCGGCAGCCCCTTAATATATTACACACGTATATATATATATATTACATATACATATACATACATATATATATATATGTATATATATATATGTATATATATATATATGTATATGTATATGTATATGTAATATATACGTGTGTAGATATATATATATATGTTGACTGTAAGATTGTGTGGGCAATGGCTGCTCCATCCTGTGCCTGGGTTCCCGACTACATCAAGGAGTGGACGGCGGTCATGGCAGGCGGCGAGACGGGGATCATTGCTGGGCAGCTCCGATCCTGGAGTCACAGACTCGTGGACCATAGCGGACCATAGTGGACCTAGGAATTCTGGTGCCAAATCATCCAGAACAATCCAAATACATTAGTTATCATCACTTGATGTAAGATGATACAAGTTGAGTGATATTTGTTGATAGGATAGTTATGGATAGTTCGTATCAAGTGTATTTACTCCCTGATCCGTCGCTCTTGTCTTTTCCAAATTCTGTGTTAGAAGATGTTAGAAGTAATACTTACGAGTACTTAAATGCAAGAAATCAAGCCAGAAATCAAGCTCCTTCCTCCTGAAGCGGAATGGTGTGTCTGAACTCAATGAACAAGGCTTGTACATAGCCATAAAGGCAAAATCCAGCAGGATCAGTTTCAGCCTGCGGCAAATGTCCAGCTCCAACTGCAGTTCTGCCCTATGCTGCCCTATGCTGCCCTGCCTGGGTGGAAGTTTGCCGTCCTAAATTTTCTTGCAAGCCTTGGACGGCGGACAACTCAACAAAGCGCTGCCGAAGTGTTGAACTTGGTTGACATATTTTGAAATCTAACATGATCATGAAATGACTTGCGGTGACGACATCATTTGACTGAGAATCCTACCAATGTTGGTTGAGGCCAAAGTAAACGCCACATCATCCGCTGTCCCCAACTGAGTTTGCCTCCTCAGATGGTAAATATCTCCAGTGGCCGCACTTCGAAGCTGCACAACCCAAGCTCTTGCACCAAGAAGCATGCCTCAAGCGTTCTGAATGCAACATCTTGTACAATCTTGTACGATCTTGTACAATTTTCATCAATTTTCATCATATCTTCATCTTAAATGTCACTTTGCAGCCTATGACCATGATCTACCATGATGATCCTCGAACCGCAGAATTCAGCATGACTTCAGCTTCTGCATCCAGCCATTGCCCTGGGCTTCAGACTTGGCTCAAAAGTGGTGATCAAGTCCACGGCCATCTCTCGAAGGCTTTCATTCCTTGGATACCCTGCCTGCGCATTTGCAATGGCTGACTCTCGAAACACCTCAGCACATGGAAAAAAATGAGATGAAATGAGCACATTTTACCCCATCTGAATCTGATCCAATTTGATTGCAGAGTATTGCAGATCGCTGGATAGCCGGCTGATCGATGCTGAGTCAGGCCGATATTTGAGTCAACTGCTGACCAAATGGGATGGAAAGTCGGACCCTCGCAGTTCAGGAATGGCGGAACCTGAAGCAGTGCCCATCGACAGCGCATGGGATCATGGTGTGCAACGCTGCAAAGGGATGCAAGGGATGCAAGGGATGCAAGGGATGCAGCAGGGCCTTAAAGCCATGCTTTGATGCAGCTTCCGTCACGGCCACAATCGCAAGAATTCCCAGGATGTTTGGCCTGCGACACCATGCTGAATGGAAAGGTCACTGCTAAGTCTCAGTGGTTGTCAATAAAGCAGCCTATAGCCTATCGATGCCTATAGCATCCTAAAGCTATTTGTGTAGCTATCGTTTCACTAAGAAATGAGGCACCTCATTGTCTCCAGCGAGGGTGCCCATGGCTTCTGGCCACGGTACTACCAAATCGCCCATTGTCATCATTGGGTCAAACAATGTCGACCAAGTTGTCTACGATTGAATGCCTATGGTCTCTGGATTTGACGCGGTTTTACAACAGTGATCAAGTTGTGGTGGCCCGCTCTTGACTATCTTGACTTAAATGGTGGAAGAACCATTCGCACACTACAGTAAAATGTAGTTTTCAAGCAAGAACCATTGAAGATTCAATCTTTGTGTCATGTGACGGCCCAAAACAAGGGAACCGCCCAGCGCCTACCTGTGATAACAACGATTGACAACGCTTCAACGCACCTTCCTTTTCTCGCTCGCCCGACTCATGTCTAACCCAAGCAGTTGTCGATAATTTCTTTGCAGATCCATGATCAAATTAAGGCTGTAAGGACAGGCCATGCGTTTCGAAACATCTCTGAAAATATCACCCTTCACACGCTCATAGTGAGCAAAAACAATAGTGTACAAGCGCATCACTTGGACTGGTGCCGGCGCAACCGTTTACACACCTGCTCACAGAACGACAAAGCTGGACAACAACTCTCTGATCATCGGCAGTGCATTTCCATCAATTTCCATCATTCTCCGTCTTTGTCAGAGCTTGCGCCTGCTCTCCTTTGCGGATGTTCGCTGCCAAAAGTTCGTCCTCTGTATCTTCTGGCCAGGTGTCCATGGTGCTGGCCAGAAGTGCTTCGATTGGAGGAATCGCCCTGGCGGAGCGAAGCTCCCCGTCCCAACACCTTGACTATGGTCAAGTAGATACATGGCTATGAGTCATAACCCTGGTACCTAGTGAACCACAAAACAGCTGGTAAATTAAATGGATGTTCATCCCATTAAAATTGATACTAATAGGTTTTGACCCATCCCCACATGTGAGATCATGTGAGAACTGTGAGAAGATCACATCATCCTCTGAGACTGTTTGTGGCCAAAGTACATTTCGTAGAATTTCAGTGATGCTTTGCTCTTTGACATCACGCTATTGGTTGCGAGATTAGTCAGTTGTGATCAATCATGGAAACCATTGGAAACCGCTTGCTTTGTGTGCACAGTCTAGCCACTGACGAAGACACGTCTGCTCCTGTTTTTGGTTTTAGTTTCATCCTATTTTACAGTATCCTCTGTTGTGTTTCCCCGTGTTTCCCTTGTCGGCATAAATATTCGTACCGCTTGAAGCTGATCTGAATGGGAAGAGAATCATCACATCGGAAAACCAGAGGCATCCCATGAAGAGCCCAACCAATCATCACTCCTTCATGATGTGATGTACTGCTACCTTTTGCAAACTACATACAAATATTTGTAATATGCTGAGTCCTGAGATATCATACATACAGTATAACAATGATCAATAATGATGAATATTGATGAATAATGATCACTAATGATTAAGTATCTATAACTCAACACACCAACATGTTTGAAAAGATGCACAGTGGAGACCTTCTCTGCCGGTCTTCGATCTTGTCCAGGCCCTGTTTCAAGCGGTCAAGCTCGCTGACCTGCTCCTGTCACAAATCTGAGCCACTTGGATTTGGGCATGAAGTCCTTCAGACAAACCAGATAAACCAGCAGAAAGGTCTATGCGGTGAAAAGAAATCATTGCCCCCCTGGCCTCTTATGAGAGCAAGAAATCCAAAGGCAGTTCTGACAGTAACTGTTCACCCACCCAGAATGTCTCACAGTGCTCAAACACGGAGCCTTGGTCTCGGCCAGCTGCTTCTGGATATTCTGCAACTGCTCCAGGAGGTCTTGCTTGAAGCGCGCTGCTCCATTGGCATCCTGAGCTGCTTCAAGAACATCCTAAGCTCACGACCCTACCAAGGATTTTCATCAATTTCATAGTTCATTCATTTTTACCCATCAAGCTTGCCACATATAGAGGTTTCCGAAAATGGGGGTACACCTGTTCATCATCCACTTCGGATTTTCCACTATAAACCATCTATTCATGGTACAGCGTTACCCCCATTTGTGGAACGCCCATATTTCTGTGGTCACGGTAGCTCCCCCACCTGGCTCACCTGGCTTGGTGCTCGCAGTTGTAGCAACTCCTGGGACAACTGGGAGGTGATGGATATGGAGCCATGATGAGCCCCCAAAATTGGGGATTTACCATAGATTTACAACGATTTACGGCCACTTTATGGCAATATTTTAATGTAATATACTTTCATTGGGAAAGTGACAGTGATGGTACACCATTGGTTTTTTTTTGGGTATCTACAGTATAAATTAAATCCATACACAAAGTCAAAAGATGTCAAAACACGTTGATAACTGCTTCACTACAAAGATTGGACACATTGCTTTAAGGCTCCTGTTCCTGCGACTTCAGAACTGAATCGCATTCAGCCTGCCAAATGCTTCAATTTTCAATGGGCGAATCTTGGACACTGACAGGTGACCTTGAAGCGCCCAAGTACTTCAACATTTCGTCTGT